TTAACCCTTTCGATTTTCCACACAATGTCAATTCTGACTGGCTTATACCGTCTGATATTTCTACTTCTGTAACAAAAAACGTGTTTTTTTTTAAGAAACACCATAGCATAGAAATAGTAATAGACATCATTTACTGAATACTTATTATGTGCTAAGCACTATATCACCTAATTGTCACAAAATGTATATATTATAATTGATATCACCATTAACTTGAAAAATAACTGTTCAAAAATCAGATATTCAATCTTAGGCGAACAGTCACCATGAAATGGGTTTAAGTCTTGCCTATTTCCAGAATTAAAAATTACAGATACATTTTTCCAAGCGCCTACTATATATTAAGTACTTTGTATTAGTCTTACATTAGTCTTACACTAGTTCTTAGTCTTACATTAGTTCTGCAAAATGGACTGAAAATCGCCATTTTTCAGAGAAGAAAATTCAACCTGAGAGAAACAAAACAACAAGGATACATAGTATGTAGGAAGGCCGCAGAGCCACAGCCTGAGACACTCAGACGATGTAAAGCCTGCGCATTTTCCAGTGGATATAAAAAGGCCAAAATGAGTCTTCTCGTTTCTATTTCGTGCCACCGGGAGGAGCTTTGGATTATTAGGGGAAAATCGCGCTGACGATCACAACGTGGAAATGACGGTTACAGATACATGACAGGAATCACTTCCATTTTGGTAAAGGGTAATAATTAGTTTTTTCCATTTTATAAGACTAATATTTTGTAACCACATCAGAACAATCCAGCTCAACTTTGTGAACATCACCAACTTTCAGGGAAAAATTCTATGCATCTTCCGTTTCCATTCAGAAAAAGGTAGATGTATTTTAGTTTATTCAACTCATCACAGAGATATTACTGCTTTAACTCATTCTTGCATCTGAGACAAAAAGAGCAGTACCAGGAAATATGAATTTGACAAACAGCACAGCACATTCAGAGTCCCTAAGACCAGGGACTCCCCACCCAGCCCACCCACATGTCTGAAAGAGACAGCACTAAACTAACCAAGACAGAAGTGGTGTCAGGATATTCGCAACCCAAGAAAAATCACTTGGGTAATCACCTGAAGGACCAAAAAGCACATATGGAATTAAATCAAAGTGCAGGATATGTGGCCTTCAAATTTGTTGTTTAGAGAAGAAGGAAGAAGATGCAAAGTGTCACCAAGTCTGACCTCTACTTAGCTCTTCTTTGCTGACTCTGTTCCAGCCACAACGGTTTTCCTTCAGTTTATTTAAAAACACCAGGAACCTTCCTGCCTTTCTATTTATCTGCCTAGAACACCCTTTCCTCCATTCTTCACTGATGACCTATTTTCTCTTCACACCCAAGAGAGGTTGGGAGGTCTTCCCTATCTGCTACTTGTGCACTCACTTGACTTTTCTTCTTTTTCCAGACTTGTTCTCACTCTGTTGCCGAGACTGGAGAACAGTGGCATTATCACAGCTTATTGCAACTTCAAGCTCTCACTTATGTTGGTGAGGCTGGTCTCCAACTCCTGGCCTCAAGCAATCCTCTCACCTCAGCTTCCAAAGTGCTAGGATTATAGGCATGATCCATGGCTCCTGGTCCTTTATGGTATTTACTACAACTTGCAACTTACTTTTGGTCTGTTTTCAAGTGTGAATGTGAGGGGAGGGTTAGCATATAAGCTCAGTGATGGAAAGGAGGTATCTGTCTTGTTCAGTACCTTAAACCAAGCTTGGAATACAAAGATAGTATAATAATAATATAAAAATGACATTTAACGAATAAATACAGGATTTTATTATATTAGCTGGAAGCATCGTTTGAATTTGAAAATGATCATGTCCAAAACTTAAAGACACTCAGAGAAGCAGAAGAATGAACAGCAGTAATAACAGAAATAACTGTAGACGGACTACTTCACACAGATTTTCTCTAATCATTACAACCTTCCAAGGTGAAGATAACAGTCTCCCTGACTGAGGAAACAGTCCTTCAAGAGGATTAAGAAACATGCTCAAAGCAACACAGTTGGAGGACTATGGCAGTAGATTTGGATCTTGAAATGCAAACTGACTCTAAAACCCGTGTTGTCACAATGAGGCCCCATGGACACTGGCAGTTACTGTTGTCTGTAAGATACAGCAGCATGTCTAGACAGCCCCAGGTGAAGATGGCCACTAAGTCTGCTGTGAGTGATGACTCAGACTTGAGCTCGGGGGCTGAACATGCCCCAGTAGAACCAAGAGGCTGAGAGAGTCCCTGTCTGCTACTTGGAAGTGACTTCAGGCACTCACAGCCACTCAAAGCCATCACTGGTGTTTAAAATTGTAAGAAGAAAAACATGAAAGAAAGAAAATAAGGAGGGAAAAGGAGACCAGCAACTCAAGTGGGGGTGTTTATGAAAATGATCTCTTTCTGGCAGGAGTGAAATTCCAGGAATAATTGCCATTACCTAAGCACCAATTAATTGTGTGTCAGGTATTGTACATTAGATATTTTACTGTTAAATAATATTTATTGCTCTTTACTTAGAGTTGTGGAAAATAAGCTTCAGAAAAGAGAATTATCTTGTCCAAGGACACACAGCCAGAAGTGATGCAAACAGGACCTGATCTAGCTGCTTCCATGTTAAGGCTCATGCTTTATCGGCTATGCGTTGCTGCCTCACCAAACTCTGTCTCTGCGTGTGCTTATCTGCAAAGGCGCTGTGGCAGCGATAGCTTCAAAAATCAACCAGGAGGAGGGGGAATGTACACTTACAGGGAAATACACTTCATGGGGGGAGGGGGGATGACATTTTAAAGCAATAGTTAAGACAAAACCCTAGGGAAAGAATGTTCTTTTCCTCGGGAGTCTACCTGTTACCTTCCCAGGGGCACTGACTCAACAAATAAATGCTGGGCAATTTCTATTGTGTTAACAAGGCTGATTTCAAATAACTATGTTACCAAGTTTGATTAAATAGTAAGACAAACTGCTGCCTTTTAAGTAAAGAACAGGGAGCACCCAACACCACTTGCTAAATCAATATTAAGTGCTTTGCCACTCTCAAGTAATGATGCCAGGAGGTAATGATTTCCTACTTTTGTAATTGCGGCGCATCTGCATAATCACACCTCCATCAGGTGTAATGACACGCTGGCAACAGTCTTGCACGTTACGCGATTGCCTGATAATTTATAATATATGCAGAGACCAATGAAGCATCCTGTTTGTACAGACATGACATCCTTTTATATAACATTCAGGGAAAGAAAGAAGATATTTAATAAAACACCAGGATATTTTTAAATGCCAATATGCATATCATAAGAAGCATTTATTTGAACATATTATTGTGCCTCAAAATGATGAACTCTGTACAATGCTTATTACAGATAACACTATCACCCATGTAGCAAGTTGGTAAATACTTAAAATACAGATGTTAAAATTTCAAAGTAATACTAAGTAAAGAGCAGAATCATAAGGCTTTCTTGACCAACCAGCAGGACTTGACCCCACTCAATACCTCCTCACCTTCTTCAAACTCTTTCTTCACATGGTTCACCTAAAACAAGATTTCTCTGTGTTCCCTCCAACTTTTCCTGTTGCTCTCCTTTTGTTGCTTTTGTTGGCAGCTCTTCCTCTACCATTAAATGTGGAAAGCCCGCACGGTCTGTCTCAAGTCTTTCTCCTTTCTGTATTCTGTGCTCTTTCCCAAAGCACATCCACAAAGTGTATCGTCTATTTGCAGGCGACTCCCAGGTTAGCATCTCCGGCTCCATCTTCTTTTCTGAATCCCAGACCTATATGATCCAACCGCTGACCTTTTCTCCTGGGGTTTAGCATGTGTAATTCCCCCATTCCCTGTCTTTTCTTCACCCTCTTCTCACAATTCCTTGACCACATCTAGTGTTCCCATCTCACTGAACAATGTCCACCATCAAACAGGTGGGCCAAGTAGGCATCTGGTAATGATTCTTAACACCTCCCGTTTCACTCACCCTCATATCTAGTATAACCAATATATTAAGCACTCTCTCTTTTATTTTTTTCATATCTCTGAAGCCCATTCTCACTTTCTCTTCTGAACTGTCAAATCGCTCCTCTAAGCTATGGTCATCTGTCATGGGGTCTGTTACCATAGTAAGTCTCTAACTGGTCTATACATGGCTATTCTGGCTTCCCTAAAATCTTTCAAAACAGTAGTCAAAGTGACCTTATCAAAATGCGTATCAGGTCATATTATGTCCCTCTTGTTCACCAAAATCTTTACAGCCTACTGGTAATCTTAGGAACATGTCAAAAGCTCTTGCTAGGGCCTAGGGCCTCTGTGGTCTTGCTAGAGAACCTGGCTCCTCTGCCTCACCAGTCTCATCTCGAGCCATCTGCCACCTGTCTCCCTGGACCTCGGTAGCACTGTCCATCTGTCAGGCCCTCAGGCTTATCATGTTCCTAACCAAAGGGCTTCTGCACTTACCCTACTCTCTACCTAGAAAATGGTTCCCTTCTTGCACAGTTAATTCTGACTCACTATTCAGGCTTCTTATCATGAATTACTTCCTCAGAAAAGCCTTCCCTAACTATGCCAAACCCCCTAATTGGGCTCTATTACACAACAGTTGTCAGAGTTTTAATTTCACATTTGCTTTTGTCATTAACTAATTATCAGCTCTCTCTCCCCCACTGTGAGTTCCAAGATAGCCAAGATCTCTGCTTTTGTTCACCATTGTAACCCTAATGTCTAACTCGGACATACCTAACATGTAATAGATTCTTAGTACAAACCTTCGAACACATACATGAATTGAATACCAAAATATCTAATCCAAGGCTGATATTACTGAAAAACAAAACTGAAAGAATACTGGTATATCAAAGAGGTACAAAGAGAGACTATACCAAGATACTAGTCCACCATAGCTGAAAAGGAAAACTGCAATTCTATTTCACAACTTCAAGATCCTTCTAAAATACACTATGAAAACAAACGCATGGCAATAAGCATACACATGAATTATGTGCTTACCCACTGTCGGTGAACAGGAACTCCAAATGAGTCATAAAAACTTCCCAGCGGGAGACACCGTACCTCTGTGCCAGAGAAAGAGCAATGCTGTAGACATTTTCCTCCAGGGTTCTTCAAGAATGTTCGTCAGACCCAGGAAAGGGAAAGAAAATGCTCATTAGGGCTGCTCTCCAGCGGAGTGGGGTACAGTCAGTACACTCCTAAATAAAGCATTTCACAGTGGTTCAGGAAAGTTCTTAAGGGAATTTTAATGTTCCTTTTTCATTGCTTTGTAAACTACCAAGAACTTATCTAAACTAGTGGTTCTCCATCATGGGTAAATTCTCTCTCC